ATTTGCATATGACTATTTATTCAACAGTAGAGAAATTCACACGACGGATATTCGGTGAACAAAAACTTCTTAGTGGATAGAATCACCTCAGATGGAAATATATTCCAGTGGTAGGCCATTCATAATCAAGGGGCACGACATGATCATGGTCCATCATCTGGGGAAGTCAAGTCAAGATTCGAGGAATCTCTCAAAGATGCCAAATAGCCAGGGGCAGATCTCCATCTGAATCACTTGGGGCATGGGCAGGAATTCCAGCAACAAATCCTTTACAATCAAACAAACACCTTCTGGCAGTGTGACAACACTTACTACTATGGACAGTGACAATTCTCCGTACCCGGTGAACATGGACATAGTCGGAAAATACTACGCATGAACGAAGATCCGCTAGGTTGACTGGCCTAGGAAAAAATAAGGGCATCCTGGTGAATCAAAAGGGTTCGGGCAAAAATTAGGGATAAAAACAAAAAAATATGTACACCCGACAAGTCAAAAACCTGAAAAGGCGGCTTGAGCAAAAAGGGTATCCCGGTGGACTGAAAAATATGAAAAGACGGTCCAGGAAAAAGTTAGGGATTAAAGCGTACGACTATGTCATGTCATCTTGTCACTTGTCTAATCAGTAGAAGGTTTACTAACCTGATCTGCATTCACCAAGGACTCCAAGAGTTGGGATAATGGTCAAACCATCTACAAAATCTCCGGTTGATGTTTTCTACAATAGGTATCGAGACAAAGGCATTCTACTACAAGGTCACTGCCATGTTCTCAGCTTATAGCCTATTGATGCCAAGTGTTCTCATACCCTCGGCAGAGTAAAATCTCCAAATTACTGCTCCAACAAAAATTCCCCAATGAAGTCGCCAAGCTTCTCGGGATTCCCCAAGCGGATTACAAAGTTTCCCTTCCCCAACGGAAACATTCTGAATAAAGCAGACTATCTTCTAGAAACAGTTCAGGTACGATCCAAGGATGATGTCATCCAGACACTTACTCCAGATTCTCATCTAGAAACGGTTCAGGTACGATCCAAAGATGGATGTCATCCTGGCACTTACTCTAGATTCTTATCTAGCAACAGTTCATGTACGATCCAGAGACGGATATCATCTTGATACTTATTTAGATCATCTTCTAGCAACAGTTCAGGTGTGATCCAAAACGGGTGTCATCCTGATACTTATTCCAGACTATCTTCTAGCAACAGTTCAGGTACGATCCAGAGCCGGATGTCATCTTGATACTTATTTAGACCACGTTTCAAATACATTTCAGATACGATCCAGAGCGTATGTCATTCTGACACTCATTCAACACACGTTTCAAATACAGTTCAAATACGATTCAGAGACGAATGTCATTCTGACACTCATTCAATACAAATTCCAAATACAGTTCATATACGATCCAGAGACGGATGTCATTCTGACACTTATTTCAACACATAGATCCATCCATAAAGCCTCCGCAGGTACTTCCTCCAGCAAAGTTCCTTCAGAGAGCCGATATCTATATTCCCCAACCGAGTTTTATAATCGCAAACGGTTTATAAAGCTTTCTCCCAAGCATAGTTTATTTCTCTGACTGCGGAACCTCCTCCCGAGCAGAGTTTATTTCTTTGAAGATGGAAATTCATCCCCAACAGAGTTTATTTCTCCAGCTACGGAAGTTCATCCCCCGGTGGATTTTATTTCTCCGAATCGGAAAAATCTTCCAGCAAAGCATCTCCTCTCTCAAACAGAGTTAATTCCCCCGCAGAGTTATTCTCAAGCAGAGTCCCTCTCCGGCAGAATATTCATAAGCAGAAAGGAGTAAATCCACGACATAATCATCTCCGTTCACCATCCCCAGCGGAAGTAGAAGAACCACTTTTCCTACAACGGTCAGGAATTCAATTTCCAGTACTCTCCAGCAGCAGTGAGGGATTTATTTTCCCAGACTCGGATATGTCACAATAGCATTTCATGTTCATACATCATGACGTGCGCATACATATTGCATACAACATAATCTCATTTATTTTGAGAACATCATCACACAATGTATTTCATGCATCGCATATAATTAATCATGTACCTTTTCAGGAAAGATGATTATCATTAACAATTCCAACAGTTCAAGATTAAATCCATGAAGCTATACATGTCATATCTGCATACAACTAATGGAAAATCAGTTCCCGAAACCAAACGGGTCAACTAATCCACGTGATCAAATGAGGCAGCCCTACTACACAAGCTTTAATCTGAAGTAACCCTGCTACCCAGGTTCCTCCTCACAACCCTACCATCCAGGCTTTCATTTCGAAGTAACCCTACTACTCAGGTTCCTTCTCATAGCCCTACTATCCAGACTTTTATTTCTAAGTAACCCTACTACCCAGGTTCCTTCTCACAATCCTACTATCCAGGATTTCATTTCGAAGTAACCCTACTATCCAGGTTCCTTCTCAGCAGCCTTACTATCCAGACTTTCATTTCGAAGTAACCCTACTATATAGGTTCCTTCTCATAGCCCTACTATCCAGGCTTTCATTTCGAAGTAATCCTACTATCCAGGTTCCTTCTTAGCAGCCTTGCTATCCAGGCTTTCATTTCGAAGTAACCCTACTATCCAGGTTCCTTCTCATAGCCCTATTATCCAGGCTCCTTTTCATGAATTACTTGACGCAGTTTTGCATGGACTTATCCCGAAAGCCCTATACAGGTTCCTTCTCTTTTATCTCCAGACAACAGTTTACAACACTGTAAAACTTGGACCCGACCAGATATGGTCGATTTCATATTTCCCCAGTAAGTCACTGTGAAGCCTGGAATATGACCAGATAGCAGTCAGCCGTATCATCCTCAACCAGTCACTGTGAAGCCTGGATCCTGACTAGATAGAAGTTCACTTCTGTCTCTTCAATCAAGAGATGACTCCCTAATAGAGTAATGGACAACTGAAGCTCCTAAGCTCCATTTCCCAAGATAAATACCAACATTCCTCAGCGGAGTCCTCCTCAACGACAGGCATAGGAATTCCCATAAAAGAATATCTCATGAAATTAACATTGTTCTGGATGGCATCTTTAAGCCCATCTCCGACGACTCTCCATCATATTCTCCAGATGGCATCTCTAAGCCCATCTCCGACGATCTTCTGTCATCTTCTCCAACTGTCATCTGTAAGCCCATTCCCGATATTATTTACGCAGTCAAGTATCATTTTAGACGATTGCAAATTTCTGGGCACTCCAGTGTTCAATCATCTTCCACCTTCAGATCATGAAAGGCAGACAAACCAATCTAAATCTTCAGGTTTAAAAAGATTGAACAGGGGCAGCTGTTGTACCCCAAAATTTACCCTCTTTATTTCGACCTGTTTGGCTTATATTTCATTATTAGATACATGCATATCATTGGTTCTATGGTTACGGGATCAAGGTATATTTAGTAAGCTTCGTCAGGTTACAAGTGACGTTTATTTCGCCAATGGATATTCTCAGAGTATTTTTCGTGCTGAAGATCGATTCGCCGTTTCGCAGCAATTCGGGGTTCAAAGATTCACAAGTCCAATCCGGCGCGTCACATTCAGGTGTTCTTTCGCCAAGATATTCTTGATAACGTATTCTCAAATTTAGGTTCGACTCGAGAGCCAATTCTTTAAATAAGGTCTTCGAATGTGCGAGTTTTCTCGAAGAAATGTGGTGAAAAAGTGTGCTGAAAGTGCAGTTTTTACACACTAAAAAATTCATAACTTGAATATCGTGGCTCGTTTTGAACCCGTTCCGGTGGCCAAAATTCTGTCTTGACGTCATCTACGTTTTCATCTCTCACGACTGGAAGCTAATTTTGATCAGAAGGTCTTCAAAAATGCAGATTTGTCAAGTATTTTCGTACAGAAAATTTGACAGAAGTTTATTTGCGTCATGTTCAGAAAATCATAACTTGGTCGAATTTCATCGTATCGAGCTAGTTCCGGCGCCAAAATTTCACAAATTGAGTTGGCTATATTTTCACAGGAGGTATCGAGTTCGAACGGTATCCAAAAGGCCTTTGTTTTTTGCTCAGAGTGCGCGTGACGTGCCGAAAATCCTGAATGCTGAATATTATTTTATCTGGGTCGAAACTTCGAAAATTCATAACTCGGACAATTTTTATCGGATCGGGCCCATCTTTTTACACAAGGTCACTGACTCATAGATGTACAACTTTGCTTCTAAAGTCGAAACCAGTATTAACAGTTGGTTCTGCCACCGTATAATAGTTAATTATTCCAAAAAAAAAAATCTATCACATGTATTAAACTATCTAGGATATTATAAAAAAATGATAAACTAACTAGCATATTTTTTTTCTTCTACAAGAGCAACTAACTAGGATACATAAAAATGAATTGGTGGCTAGCTAGTGTTAAAGTCTCAGTTGAGAGGGGAATTAGGCCGAACCGATAATAGAGATATACGGTATAATTTATATATATTCAAGTTATGGTTTAGTCTAAATTTTTTTATAAATCTATTTAATTAAAAAAAGAGAGTAAGATTTAAGTCATGAAAAAAATCTTTTAAGTCTAATAAGTCGGTTTATTTAAATAAATATGAAAATAAAATGAAAATAAATATGAAAATAAAATGAAAAGGCTTTATAAACAATGTTATAAATTGTTTTTATAAGTTTTCTTAAATAAATTATTTCATAAAACTTATGCTAATTGATAAATTAAAATAAATCAATGTAAATAAATTTTTAATCTCATTGATTTTTTAATTTGTTAGTCTATTTAAACATTATTTAAATTATTTATTTACATATTTTTAAAATAATAGATTTTATATAAGCTAAAGAATTAACTAAACTTTAGAAAAAGTCAGACTCAAACCTAAAAATAAATATATCATACCTAAAAATAAATATATCATAAACTACAAATTAGATTTAAACTTTATTTTTTTTCTTTTATAGATCAGACTTATACTTGATAAAATCTAATTCCAACTCGGCCTATTTCCACACCTAGTCTCCGCACTCATCAAATCCTTCTTGCCATTCAATTTCAATTTTCCGCTGCAAGAAGACACGTGTGAGTTTAGCATGTGCGGCCAAAAGAAGCTTAGCTGGCACTCCTGATATTTTCTCTAACCTAATCAGATTCTGAAACGTAGCAAAACAACTGTCCCTACACAATCTCAGCCCCAACCAGAACGACGCCGCAGCACTCACTTTCAACGGAACTAACTTCCACGTTCTAAAACACACGCGCAAAGCCTCCACCGCCACGCGATTTCCGTCCACAGCAAATCCTAACCCTAATTCTCTCCTCCATTTCTCAAAAAGCTCCTCCGCCACCGATCCAACACTTTTACTCCCGATCGGAGAAGCATCGTCGGTAACAGAGGTCGACCTCGAACAAGTCTTCATCCTTCGAGTTTTAGTTTTCTTTGGTGCCGTAATGCAAGACTCTGAAGAAGAACATTGAGAATCGGCGTCATCGGAATGATTTTCCGGTGAGCAAGAGCGGCAAGTTGATGGAAAGCGGTGGAGTTCGGTGGCGGTGACGTGAATTCCGGTGAAACTTTCGCATTTGAAGCAGAGGATATGTCGGCGATGGCGAGCGACGAGGAAGTTAACACGGTGAACGGCGTGGTCACAGTTCCGGCAGAGAAAAGCTGAATCGGAAGGACAATAGATAGAAGCTTGTTGATTGCAAAGTTCACAAGCTTTGTACTTCATCTTCATGCAATTCTAGACTTCAAGACTTATATAAACAAAAAATAAAATGAATGATTCTGAGTGTTATTTTTATTTTCTTGAATTACTCTCATGAGCTTATATATAATTATGGAACTCAATTGAACCATAGGTTAGTAGTACGTATTTTCTTTGTTTTAAATTTGTGGCTGTAATGTGTGGTGCTTGTACGGTAACTGCGCTGCATAATTAAACACCATAAATTATTTAAATTATTCGACTACCACACAAGTACGCAACAACTTATATTATATTTTTATATGAAAAGATTGTGCAATATATTAATTTATTTATACTTATTTTTCATCCGTATCATAATAAATTTCTTATTTGAACTATCGAAAATTTTTAAGAAAATAATTTTAATGATAAAATAACATTATTTATTAAAATTAATAATAAATTTATATGTTTGTACATATTTAGATATACGACGCACATTTTATATAATGCGTTTAAGTTTGAAGATCAAAATAATATTTTTTAAAAATTGTTACAAATAGAAAATAGAATATGTGATTTGTTTGAGAAATATATGTAAGTCAAAATGAAAGTGTAATTGTTAATTAATGTAAAAAATAATGTAAGTTAGTAATAGTAAGCAGAAAAATTATATGAAATTAAATTACATCATGAAACTAAGTAATTTAGAATGTTTGAAAATAAAAAATTTCATAATGAAACTTTTTTTAAGTAAATATTTTAAGTAATATTATTCATGTAAAAATAAGAAGAAAAAAAACGTGTTAAAAGAGTTATTAAAAAAGAAAATTAAATAAATAATAATGATGTAATTAATCAATAAATAAAAATTGGAAGTAGAATAAATTAATAAAAGTATGTGAGTCGGAAAAATGTAATAAAAAGAAATATGAGTTGTATTTGTCGAAAAGACTTGAGTTAGGAAAGCGTTTTTACACACTAGCTCAAGGTCAATGGTGGAAATAAGCTGGAAGCGGAAACGCTTGAGCATATCAAGTATTTGTATTTTCCAAGAACAACAACCCCAAGTCTTTGCATCCATCTAAAAAAGACAATTGAATGTGGAGTTAGGGGATGTCAAATGTTTGATTTATGAAATTTTAGATTTTACATGTTTAATTTATTAAATTCTTATGATAATTTTCGTCACATATGTTGTTTTTGGCGTGTTATTTGCTAGAGCGTTGAAACAGTTACTTCCAGATATGGAATGGAGAAGACTTACAAGAGTGAGTTTGTTATCGGCGGCTTTGGAAAATATTCGATTCGATGTAGATTGGAAAAAATTGGGAATTTACCACATCCTAGGGTTTGAAGTCGAATAGTTAGGAAGCAGCTATTAGTGAAGACGCAAAGAGAAAGAAAAGATAGGGATTCATTATGAAGAAGTAAATGGTATTAGTCAAGATGGCCATGTGGGTCAAGCATTGAATGATTGTATTGTTGATGGAAATGATGGCCAGAGGTAAGAAACATTTAGTAAAGAATAGCAAAATTGTTATCATTCGATGCAGTTAGTAGATTCGAAAATTTAGGATTAACATATTTCATTGTATGTTGGTGATTGAATGCATGGATTAACTCCAAAAGTCCATAATAGAAAGAGGAAAAGGTTGTATCTGTTAAAAAGTGTGGTCGTCCTGACCCCGTGGTAATCAAACACAAGAAGGATCACATATACTTTCTTTGGACAAATGAAATCAATTGCGGGAAGGCATCCGCGAAAAATGTTTTAGTAAATAGGTTAACATTATTATTCACTATTATAAGTCATATAATTTATGTATAATCTCCTGTATTTCTACAACGTAAGTTGTTTGTTCTGTGCAACAATTTCACCAAAAAGTTATAAAGGACTGTCCGCACAAGGGTCATAAATGTATTGAGCTTCGTGATACTGATAAGAAGAAGATATACTGTGTGGAGAGATCTATTGACAAGGACTGGTATGATTATGCAAAGGACAAATGTCTTGAAAAAAGGGATAAGCTTGCATTTTGCATTCATGATCTTCCATCAAGGAGGCTTGACCCTGCTACGCAAAGAGTTGCCGTCATAGTGATGAACCGATCAACCTTTGGTTAAGAAAGTTTGAAGTTTGGTAATGAAAGGAATGCAATGGAAGTTGGATGGTGCACTATTGTTTATTTTGTTGTTTTGTTTTTAAATATTTATGTTGTTATTTTGTAAGGAGCATTTAATCTGCTCAAACACTTTTGTTGCAACACCGACGATTAAAAAATATATATTATCACCATTGTCTGAAAAAATTCCATATTAATTTAATTTTTACAATAAAGTACAAAACAAAGTTTAAAAACTATATAATAAATATGATAGAAGTCAATTTGTTTTAATAAGTATTTTTTAAATGGATAAGTGTAAGTACAGATAGAATGGGCCACAAGCCCATTAGATTTAGTTGATGGGCATAATAGAAGTAGGATTTCTTTTTATAAAAATATCATATATTGAAGAGAAAAGGTTGACAATATACCTTAGGTTTTGTAAAAAGTTATTGATGAGGGAAAAAGTTGTGGTTTTTAAGGTCATCACCTTTTTACTTTCATCAAACAATGTCGAGCACCACTCCTGTTACCCCATTGAAAAGTATAATCATGTATTTCCTATTCCGTTGATTGATGTATCAGTAAGTGGTTGTTTACATATATTGATATGCTACATTGTTGTATGTAATTTATTTGTAGATCCATAGAAGATTTGGAGGCAGAAACCATTTGGAGAAGAATGAGCATAGAAAAGAAAATTTGTCGGGATATGAAAGAGGTTCGAGTTGCTAAGGAAGCTAGGAAGAATGCTGAAAAAGCAAGATCTGGAAGCCATGTTCATGGTTCCCTCAAAGGTAAAGAAAAAGAAGATGGATCATCAGTTGTTGATGCTTCAATGACTAATTACAAACACAAAAGATCTCGGGTTGCAGATGGTGTCAAATCTGAAGGAAAAAATAGGGGTTCATTTATATCAGGCTATGCGAAACGTGATAGAGTCAGAGACTATAAGGGGAAAGCAGTAGTATCTGTTGGACCCTCCAATGATCAGGTAAATGTTGTTAACAAACAAAAGACAAATGTGACAAATTTTATTGAAACAAGTCAGGATAAAAAGGATGCTAAGAGAGTGAAAGGTGATTGTGGTGTTGGAACTTCACACATATCAATTTCTTCAGACACTGACAGGTATATACGTATATAATTAAATAAAATAATTGAATAGTTGTAGTTAATAAATACAATTTAAGTACTTTAGCTTTTAAGTTATATTTCATGGTTCTGCAGTTCTGAGGATGAGGATAGTGATGTAGATATGGAAAACTGCCCAAACTATATTATATCGAAAAGGAAAAATAAAACTGGCAAGAAACTGAAAGAAAATGTGTTTGTAAGTAGACCCATGAAACCACATTTTGATTATTTTTATTATATATTTTATATATTGTCATATATTGAAATGTATTTCCATATTTTTTTTGGGTAGCAAATCCCTCATAAGGTGATAAGAAACTCGTTGCATATGTCTCATAGACGCGTAGAGTTGGTTGATTCGAATACTGAAAATAGCTATGATTGTGAATTTCATGTAGTAGAAATGAAGTCTTATGTCGAAAAGTTTTCAGGTGATGGTTGGAATGAGTTAGTGAGGGACATGCGGCTCAAGAAAGGTGATAAGGTCCCATCTAGATTGTTGTTACCGTCTTGAATCGTTGAATTATAGTTTTGACGAGGAAGTGTCTAGGTGTTGGAGTAAGATGAATTAATTTAGACTCTTTTGAATATGTCTAAGAAGATAGTTTTAAAGTTTTATATAAGTTGCTATTTTAAAACTATTAATTTAATGAATATAATGTGTAAGTTGGCTATGCTCTAGGATTTAAAATTTGAAATTCACTAATATAATCATCCTGCATTGGCCTTATTTTGATATTTTATTTAAATTTTAGTTATGGTTGATATTAAAAAGAATTGTTATATTTTGAAAGAAATCTGAATTTGATATTTATTAGAAGCTAAAATAATGAAGTTAATATTGATTTAAATAAAAATATTGTCAATATAGATAGTATGTAAACGGTGAAAAAAAGTTATACTATATACATATATTACCAATAGAACAATGTGAAAAGAAAGTTATTGATGTTGTGTAATCAACATATAAGGGGTCCAATGTAAATAGAAATAAATAATGGTAGATTTAGATCAGAAAAATGTGAATTTCATTATTGTTTGTGTGAAAAACACTGAATCTCACATATGTTGCATGTAGTACAAACTAAATAGGCAAATAACAAAGTATTAGAAAAAGATAACAGAACATGTAAATGAGTAGTTTTAATATATTAAATGCAATATAAAAGAAAAACTTGTGACATTGTTTAAAATATTAGTGTATTAATGATAGAGAAATATAAATAGAGAAGAAAATAACATAAAAACAATAAATACAAATAGATAAACATTTTTAAAATATAATAAAATAGAAAAATAATAGTAAATAGGAAAAAAATATAAAGAAATCTCAACTAATAAAAAGTTGTAAAGTTGTAAAGTTGTACGGTTAAAGTTTAGTTAAAAAGACAAGAAGCCTTGTTGAGTTTTATCTCTTCGTGCAAGTTCAGAGAAATGGCAAGCAAGAGTCCTTTGACACCTGAGGCAGTCTGGTAAAATCTCGATCAATATAAGATTAGGGTTGCATGTTTTTGTAGTTGAATCGATTACACTTACAGATTTTTATTGTTGCGTGTTATTGTTTTTGCAGATCTATGAAAGAGTTAGAGTAGAGAAGACAGATTTGACATGATATACCTTAAGCACTTGGAAGAGGTTAAAAAATACAGCTTGACAAAGGAAAAGGCACAAATGACAAAACCTTTATCACCAGTTATGAGAAATGCGAAAGAAGAAGGCAAACACGGAGGCCCATCCGTTGGTGGTGGTCAGTTTACACAAAATAAGGATGGTGGATCCTTGGTTGATTATGTTGGGTTAGGA